ATGAAATGGCCCTTATCACCACAACGGTAACATAACATCCTTTCTTTCTTGCGCGCATACTTGGCCGCTCTGTCTTCTACCGACATAGACCCAATATCACCATTAGCAGGGACCACCACGTCAGCCAGTGCCGTTACCACCTCCATAGCCTGGCAAGACAACTCAGGTTCCGCAGTAACCTCGCCAACAGGTGTCTGGTCCACAATAACAGGATGCTGTCGTGGATGATAGCGGCCACCACGGCCACCTCGGCCACCACGGTTACCACGGAAACCACCGCGGTTACGATGAGCCGGTCCAGACGCCCCTTCGACGAAACCGCCCGTTGGCCCCAGGAAGGGCCTCTCGGCCGAGCCATCGCTCTGCCCGGCATACCCCCGTCCACCACCCGTAGACGAGGATCCCCGGTGTTGTCCATCTCCATACGCATTATACCCATCATCACCCCACTGTCCACGAGGAGCCGATTGAACATCTCCACTAGCAGAAACCTGCGGCGCCTGTGCCTGCTGCAACACCGGCACTGTCGAGTTGTGCGCCTGCCTTGCCACGAAGTGCGGCGGTCTAGCCCCGGCCTGAATCGCCAACGGTCGCTGGCCATTAGAGGCCGGAGGAGGCGGCCTTGGGGTCGGGACACCGCGGCCCGTGACAGCCATAGGGTTCGGCACCGGCGGCCGAGGTCCACCCCGACCCGCAGCAGGCTGCGACAACACCGGCGTGGTTGGCCGTGCACCGGCAGCGCCAAACCCGCGGCCAGCAGAGCCAGACCCAAGCGCGCCACCAGGTAGAGGCGGTCTTGGGCCGCCTACGTCCGGCGCCGCCCGGCCGGTTCCAGCACCCGGAAGCGTTGGCGCACCGCCCTGGCCAGCCCCGAGCGGCACACCCGCGTCGCCGCGACCCGTCCCCGCAGGCATACCACCACCGCCGCGGCCACCTCCGGCCGGCAACGTTGGCCCTCCACGACCCTCAGCGCCCGGAGCGGCAGGCTTGGCAGGGGGCACTCCTCGACCGGCCATGCCGCGGAGAGGGGGGATGCGCCTGGCACGCCCCGCACCACGATCAGAGAAACTCGGCCGACGCCCAGCACCGCAAACCCTAGGTCTTTCCGATCGACTCCACACAGGAGAAGCGTTGATGCATGGGGGTGTAGACGTACGTGTCTGGTCACACCGGGCCTCATACCCGACGAACATAGGCCCAGCAACAATCGGGCCCAGTTCACTCAGAACCGGCCCACCCCCAGGCAAACCGAAATCGCGGCCCAAGAGCGCGTTCAAACGCGCCTCCCGCATGCCAGCGATCCCGACCGGCCGCCCCGCCAGCAACTGCGCCGTGGCCGTCGCCAATCGCCGGGATCCAGCACCAGAATGACTCGATCTCTTCTTCCTCTCAACTTTTATCCACGAATCCGTCCGAATCAAGTCAAAAACGGTGAGGTTTGGAAGGCTAACCTTCGGAAGGGGTCCTTTCCATGGCCGGACAGCCGTCGCCGCCGTTCTCCGATGTACGACGCGACGCACCATCTCCTTTCTGTCGTTCGCGTGTAGCCCAACCCTCGCCGGATCGTCCACCGGCAAGATCCTGTCCATCATTGAGGCAACCTCATCCTCATCATATCCTGAATGAAATAACTCACAGAATAGATCAGATGGCGTCGGCGTTGGCGGAGAGGACGCCGGCTCATCCCCATCCTCATCCGCCTCGTCGTCTTCAGATCCGACCAGCGCCCAGAACCGGCCACCAACCCGTTGATGAGCCACCGGCCCCAAGGATCGAAGTCAGGTGATCGCCGCACCGCGTCCCGCGGGGTATCCCGCCTTGTCGTCATCCATCCCTCTCGGTTTTCCATGAAGCCTCGTTTCCGTCAGGTCAATCAGCTCCGGTCTCTTCGGACGAAGATCCACCTGTACAGAATCATCAACCAGCACGTCAAATCCATCAATCTTGAAACGATGCCCTACCTCGATCGAGTCGCCGTCCGGCCAGAAGTCGCCGGCAAGGATGTCATTCTCCAAATCGAAGAGAACCAGCCAACGCGAATGAGGAGTAAAACGGACGCGGCCTTCAATCCAGATCCCAGGAACCGTCTCGGCGCAGAAATGAACACGCCATTGCGTGAATTTCCCCTGGCCCCGCCCGATCTCAGCCGGGGAGCCGTAGTCATCGCGCGATCCCGCCTCCGTCGCCTTTTCGCCCGACGCGAGGTCGGCCGGCGGTGGCGGGGCGGCCGCCGGGACGCCGCCCGGCTCCGCCTCAAGATCCATCTGGCCAAGCTTTCTAGTGATAAGGGAGATCCATAGATTGCACAAGAAGTTAGAAGCCATGGAACGCCTCAAAAGCTTTGATTGATAAAGGCATAGAGAATGAGTGCGGACTTATGGTGCTATGGCACCACAGAGGCTTGTATTTTCAAAAGAAAATCAAAAACCATATTTAGAAGTTAAAAAAAACCGTAGAAACTTGTATGTGTTCATTATGGATCCATGAAATTCTATTTGAAAAAAGATTGTAATTTATAAGCTGTACACCAAAAAAATTCCAGCCCAACAACAACAAAAAAGACCCATTTGAAGAAAAAATATTTGTCATATTTTGTACGCCACCTGTGAGAATAAAATGTTATGAATTTTTGCACATACGTAGTATACATGTGTATGTGTGTTTACAATTACTAGCAAAAGAGTCCGTGCATTGCAACGGAAGAGAAAATATAACACACGTTCTTAACTCAACAACCATCACTCAAGACCACAATAGGTCAATCTTCTTTATTTTTGCGAGGCATCATATTTGTGTTCTTAACTCAACAACCATCACTCAAGACCACAATAGGTCCATCTTCTTTATTTTTGCGAGACATCATATTTGTGTTGCCGCTTATCCTCCTTCTCACCCTCGCCGGCGATGGCCTCGGTGTTCACACAAAACAACAAAAAATGTGTGTTGAATATGGTTAATCATATGGCGTCTCTCTCTCTCTCTCTCTCTCTCCTTCCTCACCCTCTCTCTCTCTCTCTCGCTTTCTCTCACTCTCGCGATGAGAAATCTGTTGTTTTCCCCTGTGACATTTTTCAGAGATATGCATGTGCAGTTATCGATGTTTTCTTTTCCGTATATGGTTATAGTGGGGTGTTTATTTGCAATCCGGATCGCCGCCGGCATGAAAAAAAAATGGATCTTGCGCTATAAATTATAAGTTTGCTTCCATAATAATATTTTAAAAATATTTAACAGGTAAAATTAACATCATATTTAGATTCCACACATTTTTCTAATAAAATTTCATATATAATATGTTAAAATTGAAGTTATGGTTTAAAAGATACAAATAATTTAGAAAATCATCTGGTTTGACTCAAATATATTCCATAATAATATTCAAAAATACTTAACAGGTAAAAATAATATCATATTCATATTCTACATATTTTTCTAATCAAATTTCATATATAACATGTTTAAATCAGAGTTACGGTTTAAAAGATATGGATGATTTTAAAAAACATTTGTTTGACTTAAATATGATCCGCAGATGAATTATCTAAAACATCAAGGGGGTTTCAAAAAATATAAAATAACGGTTCGGGTGTGACTTAAATCCGGACGGCGGGTTGATTTCAAGAAAAGACAGGGACTTTTGTGTAAAATACGAAAATAACGATTCGTTTTAACTTAAACAGGACCGCGGGTTGAATTATCTGAAATAGAGGGACTTTTCTGAAAAAATATCATGACGGACGAAAGAAACTCAATTAGCTTTATTATTAGGTAAAGATAAAGATAAAGATTATTTTGGCGCCGCAGAAAATGATGTTTTGAAAATGGTCTCCAAGCAGCTCGGGCATCATTGGCATTTTCCACACAGAGAGTCCTACTAAAACTATTCACACAAGTCATAGAAATTCTTCCTTACAACGTGCCAACATATTTGAAGGAAATCACAATTGAAACTATCAGATGATTTATTGGGTTGCTGAGCTGCCGCAACCCAATTAGGCAACTCTTCAGAATCATGACGAGTGGCAGTGTGGTCTTCTTCCTGTGTTGAGTGCGTGAGGTGATTGTTTCAAAAAAAA